TGGTGTGACTAATTTAATAAGGGAAATACAATGAAGGAACGTAAGCGTGATTTCCCTTTATTAAATTAAACACACCACTTCCTTGTTTTCTTTCTTTGTCTTTTCCGTTCTTGTGCTCTTTGCTTTCTTCTCGCTTCCCTTTCAGTTCATTGAAAGAAAGCAAAGCACAAGACATGAAAAGAAGAAAGAACAAAACAAGGAAACAAAACAACTAAAATATAAAGTGAGTCTTTTGTTTTCTTCATTTCGCTTATTTCACGCTTCTTTTCTTTCATTGTAAATAAGCGAATGAATGAAACGAGTGGAACGAACCAGGAATGTTGGAACGTATGTACGGAATAATCATCGAAATTTTTAAAGGTAAATCCATAAAATATTCTATCAAAACGTATAAAACTTGAGTTATACCTGTTAACAATTTGATTTGAGATTTTATCGTATTCATGTTATCAATTGAATTGATTATTTGGTATTGCATGATGAAATAATTTTTTTCTATTCCGAGTATTGGTAAAATAAATATCGGGCCCAAATATGCAAAATAAATTAACGGACTTAAAGAAAAAACGTTAACGAACTTTTCAAAAAATCCCAACGAATTATCGTTATCCTTACGAACGAAAGTCTGATCTTGGCCGTTCTGCCCCAAGCTCTAAGCCCTCAACCCTGAACCCTCAACCCCATACCCTTAACCCCAAACCTTAAAGCCTCAACCCCCAACCCCAAATCCTTAACCCCGAACCTTAAACCCTCAACCCCAAACTTAAACCCTCAACCCCAAACCCTAAACCCTAAGCCCCGTGGAACCGAGGCGGTTATCGCCGCGGTCGCACCGACCTGAGCGACCTCCCACCGGTGCCATCAGCAGATCGTGGCCCGGCGAAAAGAGCAGCAGCCGAGCTTGCTTGGGCATTAGGGCTTATAGGGTTTAGGGTATAGGGTTCATAGGGTTTCGGGCTTATAGGGTTTAGGGTTTAGGGCTTGTAGGGTTTAGGGTTTCGGGCTTATAGGGTTTAGGGTTTGTAGGGTTTAGGGTTTAGGGCTTGTAGGGTTTAGGGTTCACAGCCGATGTCATGTAATCGGCGTGGGACAGAAGATTGCATTCTGGCCCGGCTCCGGCTGAATCCTAATCGCTGTCATAGGACCAGATGCTTGAGTGAGCCGGTCGTCTCCCAGAAATCCAAGCCAAACAGATGCACCATCTCATGTGAATAATTCTCTACATTAGGGTGCTTTTTTTAGGTCCCCTACATTGTACGGCACCCCTATAAAAGGACCCCCAAAAAGATCTTTGAATTATAGAGCTACCCATGTAGATCCTGGCACATGCCTGGACACCGAAGGTCCTTCCGTCCTGGTAGCAGAGGTTCTGAGCAGCGACTCGGCTTGGTGTTTGCGGTGCCCCAAACCCTAAACCCTACACCCTGAACCGCTGAACCCCTAAACCTTAAATCCTAAGCCTTGAGACCCAAACCCTAAACCCTAAACCCTAAACTCTAAACCGAAGAGGCCCGCATGGA